ACATAGAACACTAAAAAACAATCAATAACCTTCCAAATCTTTTTTTCCAAATCGCATACCCAATGCTTTCAGTTAATCAACTACTGCAGATTGTCTTCTCACTTCGTACACTTCATACTGCAGTTTCTTTCTCAAGATCTCTTCTTCGACTTTCTGAGTTTCAATATCTCAGATTTTGAGAATCAGCGTGGTAGGGTTTTCTTTGTCATGGAGAAATGAAAACGACAGAGAGCAAAACCGACTTTTAAGAGACATTTTATGAATCAGTCAATAAATAGTACAAACCAAGCAAGTGTTAAAACTCAAGTGACAAGAATGAATAGTGATCCCAACACCATATTTTAAGTGTTTTTTATTTTTATTTTTAAATTAAATATTAATAAAAAAATTACACTATCTAGAATGTAAAAAACTACTTATAAGTAAAAAAGAACTTCGAGTTATTTAAAAATAACAAAAAAAATTTATAATTGTAAAAGCTATTTATAAGTAAAAAAATATTAATCCCTCATTCTATTATAATTACAAAAGCTACTTATAAGTAAAAAAATATTAATTTAAAATTTTTGAAGTATAAATATTTAGATATATTTAGTTTTTTAAATTAAGTATTAATAAAATAATTGCACTATCTATAATGTAAAAGCTACTTATAGGTAAAAAAAATTAATCCCTCATTCTTTTATAATTGTAAAAGTTTCTTATAAGTAAAAAAATCTTAACTTAAAATTTTTTTAGTATAAATATTTAGATATATTTAATTTTTAAAATTAAATATTAATAAAAATATTGCACTATTTAGAATGCAAAAAATTACTTATAAGTAAAAAAAATCACATCAAGTTATTTAAAAGTAATACAAAAACTTATAATTGTAAAAACTACTTATTAAAAGAAAATATTAACTTTAACATTTTTAAATAAATATTTAGATATATTTAATTTTTTGAATAAATATTAATAAAAAATTTAATATAAAAAAAACAACTTATGCATGGAGTGGAAAAATCACTCTATGCACCTGCATGGAGTGATGCGCATAGTGGTCATCACTCCGTGAACACCTTTTTTTTTTTTTTTAATTATAGTAATTTTTATTAATATTTAATTAAAAAAATTAAATATATTTAAATATATACTTAAAATGTTAAAGTTAGTATTTTTTATCTATATGTAGCTTTTGCAGTTATAAGTTTTTATTATTACTTTTAAATAACTTGAAGTGATTTTTTTACCTATAACTAATTTTTACATTCTAGATAGTGCAATTTTTTTATTAATATTTAATTTAAAAAACTAAATATATCTAAATATTTATACTTAAAAAATTTGAAGTTAATATTTTTTTACTTATAAATAACTTCTGTAATTATAAGTTCGTTTTATTTTTAAATAACTTGAAGTGATCTTTTTAGTTATAAGTAATTTTTTACATTTTAGAAATAAATAATAACTTTTATGTAAAGATTTATTTAAAAAATATTATTACTAATAAAATTATAGGATATGGTCGATAGTTGATGGCATGAGAAAATAGAAAAAAGAGCACTATGTGTCAAATTCAAAGCATGTAAATTGTAGGTAAAATAAAAAACGACGTCGTTTCTACTCCACCAATTAAAAAAAAAGTTACAGTGTGACAAATTATTATTTAAAAATTATTACTAATAATAAAATTATAGGATCTGGTTGATAGCGTGAGAAAATGGAGAAAGAGTATTGTGTGTCAGATTCAAAGTTGGACGGTTCATTGTTGTCACATGAGTTTTCACATTCAACTGGTTTGAAATGAGTTCGGTTAAAATGGTTTGGTTTTTTTTATTATATTACTCCTCCTTATTTTACAGTTTATTTTTGTCACATTGATTTTCACATTAAACATGTTTGAAACTGATTTTGTCATTTAAATCTGACACACAATACTCTTTCTTCATTTTCTCATGCTATCAACTATTAGCCATATCCTACAATTTTATTAGTAGTAATGTTTTTTTAAATAATATTTGAATCTCTGTTTTCAAAAGGAGAGTTTTCTCCTTTTGACTTTTTAAAAGGAGAGAACTTTCCTTTTGCACTGAGTGATGATAATTTTTTTTAAATTTTATTTATAGTAATTTTTAAAAAAAAAGTTTTTCCATATATTAAAAGAGAGAATGTGGGGTTTACTATTCATTTTATTAGTGATAATGTATTTTTAGATATTTTTCCATAAAATTTATTTTTTATTTCTAAAATGTAAAAAGTTAGTTATAACTAAAAAGATCATTTCAAGTTATTTAAAAGTAAAACGAACTTATAATTACAAAAGTTACATATAAGTAAAAAAATTAACTTCAAAATTTTTATGTATAAATATTTAGATATATTTAGTTTTTTAAATTAAATATTAATAAAAAGATTGTACTATCTAGAATGCAAAAGCTACTTATAGGTAAAAAAATATTAATCTCTTATTCTCTTATAATTGCAAAGTTCCTTATAAGTAAGAAAATATTAACTTAAAATTTTTTGAGTACAGATATTTAGATATATTTAGTTTTTAAAATTAAATATTAATAAAAATATCGCACTATCTAAAATACAAAAAGTTACTTATAAGTAAAAAATCACTTCAAGTTATTTAAAAGTAATACAAAAACTTATAACTGTAAAAGCTACTTATTAAAAAAAAAAATTAACTTCAACATTTTTAAGTAAATATTTAAATATATTTAATTTTTTAAATTAAATATTAATAAAAAATTGCTATAATAATTTTTTTTAAAAAAAAACAATACGAGTGTTGACCACTCCGTATTTGTCTCCATGCAAATGCACACGAAGTTACATTTATAATTTTTTATTGTTACTTTTAAATAATCTGAAGTGATTTTTTTATTTATAAGTAATTTTTTACATTTTAAATAGTACAATTTTTTTATTAATATTTAATTTAAAAAACTAAATATATCTAAAAATCTATACTTAAAAAAAAAAATTTAAGTTAATATTTTTTTACTTACAAGTAACTTTTGTAATTATACGTTTGTTTTATTTTTAAATAATTTGAAGTGATTTTTTTAGTTATAAGTAACTTTTTACATTTTAGAAATAAATAATAACTTTTATGTAAAGATTTATTTAAAAAATATTATTACTGATAAAATTATAGGGTATGGTCAATAGTTGATAGCGTGAGAAAATAGAGAAAGAGTACTGTGTGTCAGATTTAAAACATGTAAACTGCAGGTAAAATAGAAAACGACGTCGTTTCTACTCCAATTAAAAAAAAGTTACAGTGTGACAAATTATTATTTAAAAAATATTACTACTAATAAAATTATAGGATATGATTGATAGTTGATAGCGTGAGAAAATAGAGAAAGAGTATTGTGTCAGATTCAAAGTTGGACGGTTCATTTTTGTCACATAAGTTTTCACATTCAACTGATTTGAAATGAGTTTGGTCAAAATGGTTTGATTTTTTTATTATATTATCCCTCCTTATCTTACTGTTTATTTTTTTCATATTGGTTTTCACATTAAACAAATTTGAAATTGGTTTGGTCCTTTAAACCTGACACACAATACTCTTTCTCTATTTTCTCAGGCTATTAACAATCAATTGTATCATATAATTTTATTAGTAGTAATATTTTTTTAAATAATATTTGAATCTCTACTTTCAAAAGGAAAATTTTCTCATTTTGACTTTTCAAGAGAGAACTCTCCTTTTGCACAGAGTAATATCACTCCGTGCATGGAGTGATTCTATTCCGTGCATGGAGTGGTGATAATTTTTTTAATTTTATTTATAGTAATTTTTTATTAATAAATATTTAATTAAAAAACCCTCAATATCTTAAAAAAGAGAATGTGGGGTTTACTGTTCATTTTATTAGTGATAATATTTTTTTAAATATTTTTTTACATAAAATTTATTCTTTATTTCTAAAATGTAAAAAGTTACTTATAACTAAAAGGATCACTTCAAGTTATTTAAAAGTAAAACGAACTTATAATTACAAAAGTTACTTATAAGTAAAAAAAATATTAACTTCGAATATTTTAAGTATAAATATTTAAAATACAAAAAAAGTTATTTAAAATATCGTACTATCTAAAATACAAAAAAAGTTACTTATAAGTAAAAAATCATTTCAAATTATTTAAAAATAATACAAAAACTTATAATTGTAAAAGCTACTTATTAAAAAAAAATTAATTTCAACATTTTAAAGTAAATATTTAGATATATTTAATTTTTTAAATTAAATATTAATAAAATTTTACTATAATAATTAAAAAAAAAACCTGGATGGAGTGATTTTTCACTCCATGCACAGTAAACCTCCCATTTTCTCTTTTAAAATATGGAGGGATTTTTTTGAAAGTAGAGATTCTCTGTGTGGATGGAGAGATTCTCACCATCCACGGAAAGATTTTTTGTTTTTTTTTAAATATAATTTTTTTAAATTTAATTAATTAAATAATATTTATATATTATTTATTTAATTTTTGTAACTTTATTTTATTTTATTCGTTTAATTTGATTTAATCGAATAATCTTTATACATTCCTTATGATATAAAGACATTTGTAAATTTTGAATTAAATAATATTTATTTTTCTTTAAATTGTTTTAATTTAATTTAAAAATTTTATAATAATTTTTTCTCTTTTTATCTGCAATTTTTTAAAATAATCTTTATATTTAATTTCGTTTCTTTATTATATAATATATGATATTGTCTTTAATCAAGTAAAGTGGTGTGTGAAAATGAAGAAATATTGTAGTGAAAGTGACATCAAAGTGAAACGGCGTGTGAAAATGGTGAAATAGCGCTACAACGTTGTTGAATAGAATAATTTATTATTGCCAAATCGATTTCAAATCAATTTCGTGTGAAAACTTATATAATAAAAATGAACAATAAACTTCAGTTCTCTTTTTAAAATAGGGAGGGATAAAATACATTTTATAAATTTTACAGCTAATATCAACGTCACGTGACCAGACTCCTCTCTTCCCTTCAAAAACCGCTCTGTTGCCTCTCTTTTAAAACGCACGTATAAATTTCCCTTTTTCCTTCTGCCTCTTTCAGCCAAGGCGAAGCAAAACGTGAAACCCTTCTTCTCTCTCATATATTACTAATAAACACTAACACTAACCGATATATACATACACATCTAACTCAGTGGTGTTTGCAAAAAGATTATAAATTATGTCAATTCGGTTCAAATTCCGGAGCTCGGTGAATTTCGATACAGTAGACATCGACGGACGGGATTCAATATCTGTTCGCAAGCTGCGGTCCAAAATCCTTAGCGGTAAAATCCTAGGCGCCTCTCGGCATGATCTCGATCTTGTGTTTTTGGATGCGGATTCTGGTCAAGGTCCAATTCAGTACCTTTATTTTTCATTCATCCCCCCCCCCCCCCCCCCCCCC